TGTGAAATTAATACTAGATACTACAGTATTTTCAGTCCAGTTTAGAGAACAACATGCCTCAAATGCTTGTGTTGGTAACTTGTTTTTCTGTTTTTCAGTAGAAAATGGTTTTGAAAATGAGTCACCCCTGGGTTATATTCACTAGAAAACTAAGGGGTGGCTCCCCACAACATATAATGATACAGCCATATACAACATGTACCTGTTATAATGACTATTCTGCAACACACAAATAGAAAGTTTGGGGTCTTTTCCCCTAATTGCAGCATTATCTCAACCTGACAAAGTTTTTGCTGTCTGGTGGCTCTCATGTCACAGTGGGGGACAGAGTACAAGTGCATTGTGCAGGAAGAGCATTGACACAAGAGGATGTTTTGTCTTATACTGCAGTAATGTGCCTGCATCACAGACACTCTCCTATTGATTCAGTAGCCTCACTCTTTACTCCCGACAGTTAAATCTTTGAAAGGCAGACAGACCTTGGTCCATCTGTAGCAGTATGCAAACTAATTGTTGAGAGTGAGCTTGATATTGTGTACCGCAGAGAGGTTTTACCTTGGCATAACAACATTTTAGTGTTGACTGCACCAGATTTCATTTTCTGACAGGAAAGCCTTAGATTTGCCCTCTGCAGTTGGATTGAAATACCGAAACAGAATGGTAGGAAGTAGGCTGATGTAATAGTTACTGTATAAGGGAAATGCAACATATTTAAGGCACATTACCAAACAGGAAGGAGTTGTCGTCATTCTAAAAACATTGACTTATTGAGGTGTCCGGGCTGAATCACTCAAACTGTAGATTTAATGGCAGCAGTTGTAGTATATGAGTTGGTAATTGAAATCACAGGGAAGGGACGGGACATGAACAGTGATGCATTTAAATAGATCCCTGAGTCACATCCTATGTACGGAAACATACCACACACAGTTTTCTCATACTATGAGCAAAGAATGTGACTTCTGCTGAACTATTACGCACACATACAATGTCTTTCACTATAGAGGGCTGTTAAGCTTAATTTATTCTTGCCTGGCATTTGTTGCCTGTCTGTCCTGCCTCTCTGCGGAAAAATATAACTCTAAATTAATGGCTGCAAAGATTCCCCTGTGAGGAATAAAACAAAAATGTTGCTTTCAAGAGTGTTTCAATAACTTGTCCTGTAGAGATTTTAAAAATACTGAAAAATGCAACAAACAGGCTTCAGCTTGCAGCTAATTTACACACAAATATTTTTAGTGTCATGTTTGAAAGTTCTATGTCTTATATAGTGCCACCTTGACATGCAGACAGAAATTTTGGTTATGATAAATGTATCTTTAATGCAGCACCATAGTAGATATGAAATGAAATGTACAGAAATCCAGACTGCTGTTGAACATACCACAGCAAGTAAATGTTTAAGGGCACTTAAAGGACAAGTGTGTAGGATGTAGTAGTATCTAGTGGTGAAATTGCAGATTGCAACCATTTGAATACAGCTCAGCCTATAGGGGAAGTGTAGTAGTGTTTAATTTGTCCATTCTGGGCTACTGTAGAAACATGGTGGCCAACCGCTCCCTCTGTAGATAAAATGGCTCATTCAAAGGATCATACACTAATGAAATGAATATTGTATCCCATTTCTGCCAGTAGATCTTCGTAAATGTTACACACTACCTCATTAATAGATGACCCATGCTTTATATATATTCTCAAATTGATCAAGCTTCTACAGTCTTCCCAGTCCTGTTGTTAGAAGCAGTGTGAGACTGGTTGTGTGACATAACTCTGAGTAATAAACGGGTTGAATCGAGCCTGGCCTGACCACACACAACTTTTTAGATTTATTTTAACCATTTGAAGTTTCCAGAAGGCTTAAAATTGTTTGTGTACTTTTTGTGTCAGCATTTTGTTCAGCCCTCTTTTATGTTGCCCTTTTGTGTTGGCCTGTTTTTCCTAGTTTTTAAAGCCTTGTGACATAATAGACCTTACATGTAGTCATTCCCTTAAAGTGCACAATGTGGGTTAATGTTAACCTGACCCTGTCTCTGAACCCTCCGACCAATCCCTGATTACTTGATGTAAAGTGAAACTTGTGTGAACACTGACAAAAGACTAAAAGCCTTAAAGCTTGTTTCCTGGCATTTAACTCAGAATAGAGCAGATTGTGCCCTTCAGTTTAGCAACTGACCCCTGCTGGATACAGAGCGGGTCTGTAGCGAGAGCATAGAGCATCACTCACCAAACCCAGAAAGAAACAGAACCTCAAAGAGGATCCACATGTTCTCCTTTAGTCAGACAGAACTGACAATACTCAATGAACAATGTGGGCTGCTGAAATGAAACCAGGCACATGAGATGGCATTGTAGCTCACCTTTGTGCCACTCAGAGACTGTTATTTTAACTGTAATAAACTGTGGTAAACTTAAGGTTTTTTCATGTTGCATTTAATCTTTCAAGTGGGGTTTCAGCATCTGTTTTTCATGTCTCTCAAAGCTATATTGTTACTGCTGCATCACTAGCAGCCACCTTCAGGCCAGTTTCAGTATTGAATCACAGTTTGAAGTTGTGGCTGTGATGACTTACAACTTAGGTGGATGCTTAATTTATTTACTTATCAGGGACAGCACATAATCATAATCAACATCAATATGATGTAAATGTGCCAGATTAAGTTCCCAGGGAAGTTGTTGCTATTTTAAAGGACCAGTGTGTAGGATTTAGTGGCATCTAGCGTTGATGTTGAAGATTAAGACTGACTGAGAACGGGCTGTGAAGTGTGTAGGAGAAACGAAGGTGGCTGTGAAACTCGCGAAAAACATAAAGGCCCTATCTAGAGCCGGTGTTTGGTTTGTCTGTTCTGGGCTACTGTAGAAACATGGCAGTTCAACATGACTCTGCGGCATCTGTAGATAATAACAGCTCATTTTAAGGTAACGGAAACACAATGATTCCTATATTCAGGTGATTATACGCTAATGAAAACATACCTATGAATATTATATTCAATTTCTGCCAATAGATCCTCCTGAATGATACGCACCTTTAATATTTATCAGAGAAAAAAAGCCTGTGACTCCCATGAGATACGTCTATGGTACGTGAGAATTTCCATTTTAAACCTTGAGTCCATAAAGAGACAAAGGTTTCTTGGAAACATGGTGAATGCTGGGGAGTATGCCAATAACCCAACAATGTTTCAGAACAGACTTATTTTGATGAGTTTAGTGAGGGCATTCATTCAACTCATAATTCACTGTAAAGGGACGTCTACAACCAACAACGATAACAATGACTATATCTTTTTAAAAACCGTCCACACCACAAACAGTAGCATTAGGATCACTTTCAGAGCCATGTGATGAACGATACTGTGGTGTGCAACATATTAAACACTTATAACATAACATTAGGCTGCAAATCACACATAAAGAAGTCCTGATGTCCTTTGGTACATTCTTTTACCAAAGTATGAATAAAATTTGTCTTCAAAAGACAACAACTCTCATGACAGAGTCGCTCGTCTTTGAAGAACGTATCTTATCCTTCTGGTGTCCTTTTTGGTTACAGCTGTATCACTATACAGTTTCCTTTTAAGCTGCAAACACAGCTGGATCGCATAGTTCAGATGCTCACATTGTTATCGTGATACTCGTTCTTGGTGTGGACGGCCCTTTAGTCACACTCCGTTAGTCTACCTGATTATCCCTCTTCTCAGGACTGTGGGCGTTTTGACACGTCACAGTAGAAAAAGCACAGGTGCATAATATGATTAACGATGTCTGAATTCCATTTAGCTGCTTCAGTTTCAGGGTCTTGGTATTCTGCATCCTGGCTCACTGTCACACTGTCATAGTTTACTGGGACACATAAATAGAACTGAGCCCTCTTTAATGTTATTAGTAACGACTGTGCTTTTCCTACAGACTTTAAGGTGTTGCTGTTAACCTATAAAATATTAAATGGCAGCGCACCGTTGTATCTTAAAGACCTAGTGAACCCCTATGTGCCTGCTCGAGCCCTGCATTGTCAGGGAACGGGTCTTCTGAGTGTCCCAAAGGTCAAAAAGGTGACAATTGGCTTGTTCTGTTGAGGCTTTTAAAGCAAAGCTAAAGACCTATCTGTTTACTGTTGTGTATGAGTCCTAATTTCTCTGTATGTTTTCCTGAGAGTCTGAGTGTGTGTTTAATTTTGTTTTAGTTATTTGAAATGTTTTAAATTGTATTTTCTATGCTCTGTGCAGCACTTTGACCTGAAAGCGCTTTACAAATATATTTATTATTATTACTAAAGTCAAAATGTCTGATGTAAAAAATGGCTGTTGTTATTCATTCACAGAGTTTGCTCCACCCAGTTTCAGTCTAACTTTGAGGTCTAATTAGTCAGTAATTGAAAACACCTGCAACTGATTCTGAATAATTGCTAACTGGACATTTATATTGACTTGAAACAAACACACTAATTACAAACAACAATGTCTACTTACTGGGAAAATCCCAATCATAGATTATTTCTAAATTGATTATTGGCAGAGACCAGAAACTTGCCGCAGTCTCCACCGGTTGCCTAGCAACTGGTCCCAGCCAAGAAACAGTCCGACACATAATCCCCCTTTTTAAAACAGCAAATTACTGTCTTTACACTCGGATTAAACAAACGAGATACAATGTGCTAATTAGAGAGCTTTAGAGAGGCTGTTAGGTGGATTTTCTTTTTAAACTTCAAACAGCTGTTTCCAGTCTTTGTTAAATGAACTTATTTATTAGTTATTATTGTTTATTTATATGTATTTAGCGAGCAGACATAGATAGAAAATGTCAAAGTATTCCTTTCGTATTTCTGGAAAGTGGGACTAGGCAGATGTTGAAAGCTTATCATGAGTTTATTTTAAGAAGCAGTCTGTGGGATGATCTTTTAAAGAAGCACATTGATCAACTTCTGTGTCACTTTAACCGGATTGTTCCTCTCTGAAAACCGCCCATTTGTACGGTATTTAACTGTCGGCGTGTCTTCCCAGATCTGTCGCCTCCAGAGGCACCTGTCTGCCGGGGAGCACCAGCAGGACCTGTTCCAAAGCCAGCCCGCCATGTTTGTGTCCCAGCACTCCCAGCCGCCCACTCAGAGTCTGGTGGAGCTGATCCAACTCTGTGGAGGAACAGTCTGCAAAACTGTGCGGCAGGCGGGCATCTGCATAGGGAAGTACAGCGGCAGGAGACCAGAGGGAAGCAGGATCCTGTCTGAGCAGTGGGTGCTGGGTAAGCTTTTTAATGCTAATCTCTGTGTAAAATGCTCAAAACCTTTATCATGTCACTAATAAATGTTTCTGTGTTTTTTTTTTTGTGTGTGTGTGTGTGTGATTTTATTCCAGATAGTATCACACATTTGAAGCAGCTGTCATATGACAACTACGACTTGGAGTGAAAAGCCGGGAAGTTATTAATTAAATACTGGACGACGTCTGGTCACATACTCTCCGTCAGTCTCTACCTTACAGTATTCCTCGTGTACAGGTTTATCTTGCGTTGTGTTCAGAGGCTTTACATAAATCCTCTCAAATATTCCCTTTTTTTTTTTTAAAGCTTTTAGTCCCTGGTTACCATGGAAACGTGTTACTTCTGGGGGATATCAACCGTTCAACAATGGTCTTAAGTTACTGTGAAACATGGAAAACTGCTTTGACAATAGTGTATGTTGATCCTTTATTATTTGTTATTGTTTGTTTGTTTGTCTTAAAGTAGTAACCACTACTGTGTAACTGTTGAAGTGATTTTTAAAAATAGTTTCTGAGCCAGTTCAATACTCTAATGGAGATATACATACTGTGTCCTTTATAGAAATGTTTTGTGATGTTTTGTTAATAAATACTTTTTTAAAATTTTGATTGTGATCACAAGTTTTTTTTTTATTATTATTTTCTGTTAAAGGTCACTTTAATTCAGTTTTATTGACAAACAGTTAACAGAAGTATACACACTGCAGACGCCCTCTGGACCTAAACATATATCACTTGTGTGAGGTAATTTCAGGTTTTATTAAAATTAAATTATGATGAGATTAGAGTAGATTAGATTAGATTACAATAAATTTTATTGTCACTGCACAAAGTACAAGTACTAAGACAACGAAAGGCAGTTTAGTATCTAACCAGAAGTAAGAAAGCAGTAAGGTACAGGGATATCAAAAATAACATATATATATATATATATATATATATACATATATATAGATACAGATATCTCTCTCTATATATGAATACGCTAGGAAGATATATACAGTATGATCAGCATTAACAGAAGGAACAGAGTGAAGTGATTAAGATATATACAGCTTGTGCAGCAGCAACGGTCACAGTTGCAAAAAAGTGTAATTATGTAGGTTACTTAAGATAATGAAATGAATGTAGCACAGTTTTTGAGAATTATGACTTGATTTTGAAAAGAACAAATACTGTTGTGATGGATCAATCTGTCAAAAGTGCCGTCAGTGTCCACTTAGCAGTGTCACTGGGTGACAGACGACAAATGAACGAGCTGATGTATCACAGCTTGTACTCACACTTGTCAGTCATCAAGCAGCAGCGACGGAAAGTAACTAATTTACTCAAATGTTGTGATACTATACTGCTGTAAACGTGACTAGAAGTTTACTTGAGAACTACACACACTGCTGTTTTTATTATAAAGTATTTAATCTATGTAAGATGTGTAGAATTATTGGGTCATAAAGTATAATTTAAAAGAATTAAAACTATTATCGAACAGCAATTTTACAAGTAAATGTTAGTTAGTTTTTACTGGCCTCTTTGTCTTTGCACCCCAACCTTTGGACACACATTAATCCACCAACAGTTGAATTCAAATAAAGTGATTAAAAACAAGCCCTTTGAACACAATAACACACTGAAATTAAACCTTCCTGCGTCCAACGTCTGATTATCCAGCATCAGGCCAAACCCAGTAAAATAAAGAATAATATAAATTCTTTGACTGATAGCTTACTGAGCTACACCCTCTGTTATCTCCCAACCTTTAGTGCAAACATTACTCAATCATATTTGTGTCAGACTCCCATCCCTGGAATATCGTACAGTTGGAATTAATATGATGTGAATCTTTTTAAAGGGTTTAATCAGCGATACTTGAGTCACAAGGGATCTCATACAGTAAGTATAGGCTATGTTATATTGACTGTTCGCCGTTTTCTTTCTTTCTTTTTGCATATTTTAAAAAAAATGTAATGTGTTTCCATTGTTAAATGTAAAAAGAAAAAAATGTAGCTCCTAAAATAATGAAGGTCGTAGACACCGTCGATTGAAACATTAAAAAAGTCAAATAACTCAACGTCCACTCACTTTTTCTGGGTCTTTTAATCACATAATTTTAGTAAGTTTAGTTGTCATCACATACAGTACATGTGTTCACATGCTGACAACTGAGGAACGTCATCCTGCTGTGGAAGAAATGTGGTTGAAAGCTCTGGAAAAAAGCTAGTAAGTGGACCTTTAGTGAAGATTTCACCTCTCTTGTTTTGACTGCACTGTTAAAATATTATATATATATATATAATGTAACCCCCCCCTCACTCAGTGTTAAAGGCTTTGAGGAATGAAGGGTGTTAATGGTCCTTTAACGCGAACGATGCGCGCTCTCCCATTGGTCGCCCTCCTCGCCGCGTCACTCGACCAATCAGCTGCGTCGATGTTGCGGTGTGTCATTACGTAGGGAGGCGTGTGTGACATTTGCTGCACGGAGCTAGTTTACGAAGAGCTAGCCGGATAAAGATGAAGAACTAGAGGGGAAGGGAAATGGGGAGATATTTTGCCTTTTAACCACCGAGCGGACGTTCGCGTTGCACTTTTGTTGCCGTAGCCTCGCTCGAGACGAGAGTTTATATCCGATGTAGCTTTTGGTAAAACTTCCTCTTCGGCTAAACACGTTAAATAGTAAGCTAACGCTTTCTCTGAACTTGTGCAGTAAATGTGCGGAGTTCGGGCTCTGGTTTGCTGTTGTGGGATGTTAATATAATCAGATAAAACTGTAGTTAGTTTGTTTTCTATTGCAGTATGGGTGGACGTTAGCACTTGAGCCGACTTGGCTAACTGCGGGTTTGCACACAAGGTTAAAATTAGCTTTAGCCAGCTAGCTCCTCATTCCCCTTCTTGCTGCAGCTTCCTCTCACTTGTTCTTATGCTGACTTGTCAGGCCAGGTGTGCTGAAAGTAGGACAGGTGTGGTGTGCGATAGATAGGGTGCACTGTCTGTAACTTAGTAACAGTGTGTAGTCCCACCGTCCGCTTCAGGGATTTTTTGTTGTTTTGTTACTTTAGTGGAGCCAGAGGTTGGGGGGGATCATCATCTTCATCATCATCATGCTGCTCTCTTTGGTTGTGCACACATACTCGCTGCGGTACTGGTTCCCAGCCACCATCATGCTGGGGACAGCACCAGCTTACCTGCTGTCATGGGGGGTTTGGCGCTTACTTTCTACTGTGTTACCAGCCAGGTGGTATCACAGATTGGACGACCGGTTGTACTGCATCTACCAGAGTATGGTCCTGTTCTTCTTTGAAAACTACACAGGAGTTGAGGTGAGTGGTCCTTCACATGCTGCATATTCAAAATCAGATGTTTAGAGTTAAAATTGTGTAGTGGGGCATGCAGGCTTTGAACTTGCATTTATTGTTGGATGAACACAACATGCAGATCAGTGCATAATTGCAGGTTTTTGTGTTTGTTGAAACTCTGAAAATAACAAAAATGTGAAGTGGAGCCAGACCCAGATGCTGACAAACAAGTTTGTGGTGCACAGCAAGAAAGTCTGCATTCTTTTGCAGCCACTCCTTGCACAGTTGGTATTTTGTACGTTAGGGTATGCAGGAAACGGTGATTGTGCTGTAGCGGGTAAACCTGATGTGCTTTGTGTAATAAAGTGCCTCCGCTGTCCCACCGACTGGAGGCCACATGAGGAGATTGGAAGGGACTTTTTAAAAATAAATCCTCTTGGGTTTATTGAAAAGCTATGGTGGTTTAGTTTTTTTTTTATAAAAATTGACAAAATCAGTCTGTAGTGGAACCAAATCCCTGACACAGTGTCTTAACAAAACAAAATAAATCTTTTCTCTCAATGTAGATTAACAAACTCACAAGTCAACTACCATCTGTAATATGTTTAACCTGCTTTCATTGTAGATTGTAATATATGGAGATATACCAAAGAACAAAGAGAATGTGATCTACCTGTCAAATCACCAATGCACAGGTAACACATTTCATACCCTGCTTTAAAATCGTATTCTAGTGTGACGCACAAGTTGAAGTTAATGTCTAATCTCTACCACTGGGTCTCCTTGTAGCTGACTGGATCATTGCTGACATGCTCGCCATCAGACAGAGCGCTCTCGGTCACGTCAGATACGTCCTTAAAGACGGACTCAAGTGGCTCCCGCTCTACGGATGGTATTTCTCTCAGGTAATGCAACTGTGTGAGTATTTGAATGTCATTTTTGTAAACAATTATAGATGTAAAGATGTACACTGAACTCGAAACGCTTTGCTGGCGCTGCTGTTCCCATCGTATTATCTTCCTCTTTTTTAGCACGGAGGAGCCTACGTGAAAAGGAGTGCTAAGTTTAATGAGAGGGCGATGAAGAAGAAGCTCCTCACTCAGACTCAGTGTGGAGCACCAGTAAGTATGCTTTGTAAATTAGCCTCTTGACGACATGTGTATTTACTGTATATGGTCTGCTGGGCCTTGTTTTTCACATTTTTCTGATCATTACAAGCTCGATTTCAAACTTTCACCACTTAAATTCTCTGCAGAGCTTTCTGGAATAATCTTCCAAAATTCTGTCGTCCAAAAATTCCTTCTTACCCTACTTGTAATTAGGATGTTGACATGAATAGTTTCTCAGAGTTTGTATTAACAGAACATCCGATGACGCCAGCACCAGTCAAATGAAATGGATAATCAGACATTGGATGCAGGAAGGTTCAATTGCAGTGTGTTATTGTGTTGAAAGGGCTTGTTTTTAATCACTTTTTTTGGATTTAGCTGTGGGGGATTAGTGTGTGTGTGTGTGTGTGTGTGTGTGTGTGTGTGTGTGTGTGTGTGTGTGTGTGTGTGTGTGTGTGTGTGTGTGTGTGTGTGTGTGTGTGTGTGTGTGTGTGTGAGAGACAGAAGTCCTGGTGACGCGGAGAGTACACTATGAAAGCTCTGTTGTGAAGTCCAGTGATGAAAGTTAAAGGAAACATAATCAGTTGTCACAGTGACGATAGATTCAGGCCGAGGTCGGAAATACTTTTTCACCTTTGGCTCCAGGTTGACTGTAATTTATCTTATCAACTCTAAAACAAATTGTTAGTGAAACTCACTCGCCTATTAATTCCAGTAATTTGCAAATAAATTATTAACACAACTGCAGCTAAAATATTTCATCTCAAAGTTATTTTTTTGTTAAAGCTTTTACAACCTCAATATTTTTGCAAAAAATGATCAACTGTGAGTGATTCTTATCTACATTAATTCTGTACTTGTGTACTAAAGTAGCACAAGTACTGAAGGGTATAACTTCCTGTTAATTGTTGACTTAAAACCCAGTGGTGACACAGTGAGATGGGTGAAAGAGGAACGGATATAAATGTGAGACCTCATGTGTGAGTCCACGTCGCCAAAGACTCAGTTTTCAGTTCAGTTGTAATCCAAACTGATTTTAAAAGAATGAGCTTGATGAAAACTTTTCTTTTGAACATTATAAGTTCAGCACAGTGTTACGTTTCCGTGTTTCTTGTCCAACAAATTCTTTTAAATGTTAGAAATTCCAGTTTGGCCAAAGATTCAACACTGAAGACTTTCATTCCACATGTTTTTTTTTTTGTTTTTTTCT